GCTAACGATGACGCTGAGGAACTCGCACGATATACGGCTGACTTGGAGCCCGCAGTTCGTGACCTCATCCGAGAGTACCACGACGTTTTCCCATCGTCGTTCTCGTACGCCGGCATCCCACCGATGCGTGACATCGAAGACTTCATTCTGCTCGTGCCTGACTATCGTGTTCACCACCACGCACCCCACAGACTCTCAATCCCTGAGGCCACCGAACTCAAGCGTCAGCTTGAGGAGCTCCTAAGACTAAGTTTCATTAAACCCAGCAACTCCCCGTGGGGTGCACCCATCCTCTTTGCTCGCAAAGCGGATGGAACTCTTCGTCTCTGCATCGACTACCGCGGTCTCAACCGCTACACGGTTAAGAACAGCTACCCCATGCCTCGTTCCGATGAGCTGTTCGACCGCCTAGCAGGCAACCGCTTCTTTACGAAGATTGATCTTCGTAGCGGTTACCATCAGATCCGCGTCGCAGCAGTCGACCAGCCGAAGACCGCATTCCGATCGTGATTCGGCCACTACGAGTTCACGGCGATGCCACCCGCTACCTTCCAGAGGGCGATGAATGACATCTTCAGGGACATTCTAGAGCAGTACGTTCTCGTCTACCTCGACGATATCCTGGTCTATAGTCGTACCCTTGAGGAGCACCTTAGACACCTCCACGACGTCCTTGACCGCTTGCGCAGACATGGCTTCTACGCCAAGCTAAGCAAGTGCCGCTTTGCCCAGCACAAAGTGAATTTCTTAGGATACTACGTGTCAAACCAGGGTCTCCACATGGACGACGCGAAGATCACTGCTATTGCGGAGTGACCCGCTCCCACATCCGCCAAGCAGCTTCGCAGCTTCCTAGGCCTGACCAGCTACTTAGGCTCCCACATCCGCCAAGCGGCTTCCCATCTTACGGATCTAGCTCCGACTTCCCTCACTTTAGGAGTCATTTGCATGATTCCCTTACCCATCATCTTTCTACCCTTCGCCGGCCCTCACGCCCTAGTTAGGCAGCCCCGCATGCTTCATCTAGGTGCGCCCAGTATACCAGGTTCCCTTGTTCCCTTGCATGGTCGACCCTCCATAGCGATCACCCCTTAGTCGAGCATTACCCGCCCTGATGGTCTATGTATTAGGGTCATTGGTTCTATTCGCTCCCAGTTCCCTACCCTCATGATTGAGCCTGATGACATGTGTTTTCCCCTGTCACTATGTGTGGATGCCCTTAGGAGTTTTCGACCCCTAGGCTGCATTCGCCACCCTCAGAGACCATCCCACCCTTTGGTGTGCGACACACTTCTCATGTGACGTATGGTTGTCTTGTTGATTGCTTTGTTGCCCTCAGACTGAGGCTACTGCCTCCGACGTTTTTAGGATTTAGTTGTTCTGGTTTTGCTATTCTTAGGACTTATACACTAGTCAGTTGTTACCTGACTGAGGCTAGTGCCTCCAACATTCTAGGATCTAGTTGTCACTACTTTTTGCTTTCCTAGGACATGTATGTTAGTTAGTCGCTTCTACTTTCTCTTAGGCTGTTAGCTGTGACATTGCTGTTTTGTGACATTTTATATCCTAGGTTGCATCGCATGGACTCAGCATGGAGCTTGCTCCGCATCCTAGACTACTCAGGTTTTCTTTTCTTTGGTAGAGTTCCGCTTCTTGGCGGAAGCATGTTTGTATTTAGGCGATCCATCACAGACCGAGGATCGTGTAGCGGACCTCGGGTTGGCCTGTGAGACCAGCCCCTTGGCCTGTTCGCACAGGCCGGTGTTATATTCGGGGTAGGTCAGTCCAGGCCGGTACCTCTGTCGGTACCAGCCAGTCCAGTCCAGTCCCGTCAGTCCGCTGGGGTATACCCCAGCCATTGTCTGTTTTCAGTCTCATTCCTCACTTGCACATTTTGGAGTACATGCGTTGGAGTCTTGCGTGGGGAGCTGCGTTGTGCCATCTTGCTCCCCCTTCTTCCTCCATCTCTATCTCTGTCACTAGCGGAGCACCATACCTGGTGGGTCCGCTACGAGCACTTTGTTCCTTCAATCTAACAAAAAAACGGCCTCCGTACCTATCCGTCTTTGTATAACCAGGCCGCACCTCCCGTTTTTCCAAATCTATGTCCTTATATTGCAATCTCAACCCCTCCCCGCACCGCTGCCAACTTTCCCACAAATACAAGAACATAGCAGCATCGCGATAAGCTTCCGCTTCGCGCACTTTCTTCAGAATCTTCAATTTGTTTCTTATATATCTTATAACAATAACTAGCTTCTCCCATCCTAGTGGTTGGGCGGATTCTTCAACCACACCCCTACTTAATGAATACTCCCTATACGCTTTTCTAAAAGCCTTCACCCGACCACTCTGACAAGGATCATCTCCTTCTTCCAGGCCTAGAAGGCGAAAACTCCCACTCAAACAATTTATCACGGCATCCACAGTCGATGGTGAAACCATCGACTCTCCTTCACCATCTGTAGTCCGGCACCGGCTCTCTATCTCCACGAACCACTGACTGCTTAGAAATGCCAGCACATCCAGGTCATTACACGTCATGCAACTCCTTTCTACTCCATTTCTTTCAAGCCATTCATTCAAACCAATAAGAAACTTCTCATTCCATTCCGCCATCGCTTGCCAGGGCCGAATTCTTCAATCAACCGACTGCTCCATTTCAACCCTGTTTGGTATTTTCCCACTATCTCTGGTGTAGCTCGCCTCTGACGCCAGATTCCATCACTCGTTCGCTCGTTCCATCACTCCCTGCAAGATGACAAGTCACTTGTGGGATGATGGAGGGATTCGGGCGGTATAGGTGTGTGGGCCTGCGGCCCAACTCTATGACTTTCTTCTGAGCGATCAAGCATCATCATCGGCTGGTTTATTCTCTATTTTATCTGGTTTGGACCTGTGCAGCAATCGTCCCAGACCAGGCCTTTCGGTTGGTTGCAACTCCTACGGCCCAGTTTCTCATCTCTGAAGGCATACGAGGCAGTTGTCTTTTCTTTTCAAGAACTTCCAGGCCGCGGTTGATTCTCTTCATCTACGTTTGCTTCAGTATTATTCTTTTCATTTTCTTCTATTTTCTAAGATCTACGGTTGGAGCAGTTCTCTTTCAGCATCTTTGGTTCAGGATAAGGGTTCCAGTGGGACTCACCCAGCAGGCAGCAGTCCCTCGGCAGCTCGGCCTCCACTGCTTCCAGGAGCAGCAAGGGCTTAAGTAACAGGGGCAGGACCGGTCGCAGCAGAAGGCGTCAACTCTCGCTGCGCACTTTCCACACTCCTTCAGCCAGCCGCCGTGCCCATTGCGTAGGCAAATCTGCAGGTCACGTCACAAGTCAGCCAAATCGCTCTTGAGGACAGGTCGTTTATCTCGCCTTTTTTTGGCGAAGTGGCCCCACCCACCCTTGATTTTCCCGCGGTGTGTGGGCCTGCGGCCCAACTCTATGACTTTCTTCTGAGCGATCAAGCATCATCATGGGCTGGTTTATTCTCTATTTGATCTGGCTTGGACCTGTGGACCAACTGAACAGTGAACAGTACCCCAGCAGAACAGTGAACAGTACCACAGGGGGTCTGCGGTGATTGAACCCACGGCCTCCTGAATGCCACTTGTGTGCCTATCAGTCAGACGTCAATCACGGCTGGTTTCCTCCTCGCATGAATGAGTTGGCAGCCAGGATGGCTGCATATACGTACGTGGGTGTGTGTTTGTCTCTGGGTTTCCATATCGAGAATGTCGTGGACCTGCTAAAGGGGTAGATAGGGCGTCGTTGCGCACACAACAAGGGTGCGGTCGGTGACCGGCACCGACCGGTAGTTTCCTGGGCAACCAGGCGCCGGTTGTGGGAGATGGTCGCGTGGTCGTCCGGTGAAGAGCGGGCAGCTCGAGGTCTTTGGTGGGTTTCTAGTATAGGAAAGTTTTTTCTTTATTATCTGACCGTTCATTTTTATTTTTCATTTTCTTTATTATCTGACCGTTCATTTTTATTTTTACTTTTTTCAATCTGACCGTTCATTCACTACGGCGAGCCGAGGGTGTGAAAAAAAAAAAAAAGAGTTAATGTAGGCCTAATGTGCAAAATGAGAATGATGACTCTTTACGTAGCACATGGAAACATACACCGACCTATCTTTGTCTTTTGTGCATGCGGAGGTGACTACACTTACTAGGGTAATGGGGCGAGACACTCTGGTGACTAACACTGACTAGGGTAATGGAGCGAGACACTCTGTAGTCACACACGCACAACACCCTCGGCGATACGCCCGCCGTCCTGGCTGGCCCGCACGCCCAGCGTGGTATCAGTCAGTGGACAAGCAATTTCTTAAATGAATATGACCGCAATTACAGCTGCACGGTCGGGCATCTGACGGCGATCAAGTCCAGAGGTCAGTCGAAAAAGTTGTTGGTGTGAGTATGTGCCCTGATATGGGGAAGGCGGTGGCTCCGCCGGCCGTCGGAGGAGGCGGTAGCTCTGCTGGGCTTCCTGCTTTTGCCTTTCCAGGTCTGTCTGGACATGCATGCATCTGGCCTCGATCACGTCCAGAGCTCAGTCAAAAAGTCGTAGTGTGAGTATGGGGGGGGTGCGGTTCAAGGCGGAGATATGGGGAAGTGGGTAGCTCCGCCCGCCGTCGGAGGAAGGCGGTAGTCTGCCCGGCATCCCGCTTTTGCCAGTTCACGTTTGCACATCGTTCGTTCGCAGATATAACCAGCACTAAGGCGAGATGAGGCCACATATGTAAAGCGAAACGGCGATGTATAGCAGGGGTGCTCGACGAATAACGGACGGCGTCGTCGGTACGAAGAAGAAGAAGAGGGTTTCTTCGGAGAAGCAAAATTAATGCAAACGGCAGCACGGCGGCGTTAGCAGCGTACAGCAAGTTAGCAACGGTGTTAGTCAAATACCGCACGAACGTCCACAGTAGGGTTCGTTGAACGAACCTTGGCTGTAATTTAGGTCAGATACGGCGGCCTAGGGTTCTTTGCACGCATCTCGGCTGTTATTCAGGTCGGATACGACTGCCGGAAAGTACGACCGGGGCTCTTGGCGGATTCTATCTATGCGTGGCATCTCCATCGCTGTCAGGATCCCGATGCAGATGAAGGCTATGATGGGATCTCTCGATCCCTCTCCGAAAGGCGGATGTGGACGCTCCCGTCGTCCTGGTTGCAGCTGGAATGGAGAAGTGCCTCCTCGCCCTCCTGTTTTGTCCCAATGTTGGAAACAGTGTGCGCCGTTGGCCATCGGCCTGCTCATGGTCTTGATTGCCGTATCGGCGGCGGAATCGAGGATATTGAACCCTACGGAGTATGTGGTGACGGTCGCCATCAACACTTTGCGCCGCCAGGCGGGCGTGAGCCCTTTGAATCGCGAGATTGAGCTGAATTGTGCGGCAGATAGGCGGATCGACACCGTGAGCGCAGCCAACGCAACCTGCCAGCGGAACGACACAGGTAAAGTCGTCTTGTAACTCTGGTCAAACCTGTGGTTCAATCCCTGGTCCGAGCTCCCTGAGGAGGTGGTAGTTATCCCTGGCTGGGAAATGTAGAAAATCGCCCCATCCGTGTTGTAGCCTCCACGCCATATTTATGCCGTACTGTTTCGTCACCCATTCGTGCTAAATTACGCCTACTTAGCGCTTTTTTTTGGGGGGGCGGGGGCGGGGGGGGGCGAACGGGCGGAGCAAGGTAATAATTCCGTTACAAGCTTTCTTAGCGCTATGCAATCGTTTAAGCAACGGAATTCGACATGTATTTTGGGATTTAGGGCAGGGTTTGATAGATTTATCCAAAGCTTACACTCCCCGAGCTGTTATGTTGTTTTTTGAATCTTGTATAAATCTCATGGAAGCCAGGCGTAGCGGAGACTTGTCGCCGGGTATGTTTTTTTTGAGTTTGTGTGAATCCACAGGATTGGCACGCGCTGAAACCGGGGGCCGTAATCTAACCGATCTATCTCACAGTAGACCCATGAGCTGTTGAATTACAGACCCCAGCTCGAATCCAGATGCGGCTATAGATAAACGGAATCGAATAGTTCTGATTTACCTGGGGCCGGTCTGTTCAATGATGATATCTCACGGTCCGAGTCGTCGCGTTTTCTAGTAAAAGAGAAAAGAAAGTCACGCAAAATTTAACTAACACATACCAGCTGGTAGTGTCGACGGGAGATGAAAAATCAGTTGACGTCATTGCTGGGAAACATACACCGTTTTGTGGGGAAAGAAAAAACGAAGACAAAAAACATACACCACGCATAGATTTACGTATGTGCGAACAAAGAAAAAGCAAACAAGAAACGTTTTACGTATGTGTTGCGGTGTTCGGCTTGCGTGGTCGGTTAGCTTTAGCTATGGATTCCATTCAGTTTCAGGGTTCCCCCCTTCCGGCGATGGTTGGGAGTGATGATTTGACGTGTTGCAACTACAGTCTTCACCCGCCCGAATAGAACACCCGGTCATAATAGCTGCATTCGGGCCAAGTTGCGATCCAGATACGGCGATAACGACGGGGCGTCCTATTCGTGTGAAGACGGGGGGCGGGGGTAGTGTAGCAGCAGTTGAATTGCTTTTTTTTTTGTGTGCAGAGCATCATGTGTGTACAGAGCAGCACTTGCGCTTTTGGTGACAACGTGTTTGGTCAAGAGCTTTGCACATACCGAATTCATCTGTTAACTCTCCTCTCCTTTGTCGACACGGTCTTCGTGCGTTTCTTTTTGTGGACAGGTGGATGGCTGCTGACAGTGTTGAGTTCTCTCTACGATATAGTAGTTATGGATCCCTACGTCCTGACCTTGGGGCCATCCTTGCACACACGGAATGGAAACCTCAACCCCAGCCCTATCAGCCGGGCACTCAACGAGTCAGAATGAATGGAATCGGATTCCTTTCGTGTGCATCCTCCTTTTTCCAATTCAACATTTGGTTGTGGCTTGAAATGAGCTGTGCACTGTCCTTGTGTGTGTGTGTGCGTGTGTGTGAGTGTGTGTGTGTGTGTGTGTGTGTGTGTGTGTGTGTGTGTGTGTGTGTGTGTGTGTGTGTNGTGTGTGTGTGTGTGTGTGTGTGTGTGTGTGTGTGTGTGTGTGTGTGTGTGTGTGTGTGTATTTGGTTGTGGCTTGAAATGAGCTGTGCAGTGTCCTTGTTTGTGTGTGTGTGTGCGTGTGTGTGCGTGTGTGTGCGTGTGTGTGTGTGTGTGTGTGTGTGTGTGTGTGTGAGAGGAGGTCTTGGATTGAATCCCCATTGGCCTCGTGTACCTTCCTGGGCAAGTTTGACGCTCGCCACCTAGAGAAAGCCCGTTGGTCCTCCCAATTGGCATTAGAAAGCAGTCTCTGCTGATGTTCATAGGGGGAGGGGTAATCAGGGAGGTACAGCGACTGGCCACCAAGATGATGCTCGGTCCCTCTGCGACCGGCTGTCCCCTGGCCGGTGTCCCCTACTGGGGGTTCCCTGAAGGGCCTGAAGGCAATAAGGCCACCCTGGGCTGAAAAGGACACCCGGTGCTAGATTGGACACTTCGACACAGGATCCAATTTACCTGGGCTGGTTAGTCCGATGAAGGCTACAATTTACCTTACCTGGGCTGGTTAGTCCCCCATGATAGTACTTCAGTGCCATCGCCCTTTAAAAATGAAAGGGATATGTGTTGCCATGGGGTTTTGACTTTTTGGAGAGCTTCTGTAATGACAAGCTTTGTTTTTGACACCATAGTAACTTGGTTATGTGGAGGCTTCTCACTGTTCTCAGTGGATAACGCCACCTTAGTGTGACCCGTCGACCTATAAACGCCGTACAACGTGAAATGGTCCTTGCGCACCAAATGGACAATAATTGAAACCGGATGCAAGGCATGCCTATGCTGCGATGCTCAGTAGACTCCTGCATCAAATTTCAATTTTCTCTTTTTTTTTTGGTTCTTTATTTGTTTGCCGGCCGGGCAAATGGTTCCGGGCCACAATGGTTAGCTTAGGTGGGAAGTTGGAAACTGGTATGGTTCCGTTTCTGTTTGGTGCTGTTTGGCAAAATTGGCATCACTTATTTCTGACGAGGTTGTTTTGTGTTGTTGCTGTCGTGTGTTCCGTTTATTACTGTCTCAACTCGTATGGTTCCGTTTGTCGCTGTTTGATCCGTCCTGTATCCGTTTAATTCCCTTCTTTCTGGCATGCCCAGCGGCCCTGGCTGCAGCGGACGATTGTAAATTGTTGGGAGACTACAAGGGGGCTGCGGAGCTACTGGATTGCGGAGGGCAGGATAATCCCCTCCAAATGTTCGTCGGTAATCAGACCACGCGGACCGTGCTGTTGGATCCGACTTATAAGGACGTCGGTATAGCCATGCGTAGCACAGATAGAGGGACGTACTGGGTTGTCATTCTCGCTTACACTTGAGTTGAGACCGCGCGAACTGAGACTAACTGGAGGCAGCCCAAAAATGATTGACGTAACCACTTTAGGGCCTTTGAGGCCAAAGTTCCGCCAAACCAGAAACGAAAGGAGAAGGGAAGAAGAAGAGTGATTGGACAATAAATTCCTCTCTCTCTCTCTCTCTCTCTCTCTCTCTCTCTCTCTCTCTCTCTCTCTCTCTCTCTCTCTCTCTCTCTCTCTCTTCCTCCAGTT